TGACGCCTCGCCTCTTGTCTCATTTTCCTCCTTGCTCTCCTCACTTACCAGGCCAACGTGACCACATCACGTGACCGCAGCTAGCCTTTGTCTAGCCTTCAATCTGATAAAACCTACCGGACAGAGCGCGCGAGCCTGCAAGGAATCCTACTACAATCAACCATCCATCTCACACGTGACATGTCACGCGCACCAATCGCCAGAGACAGAGCGTTTATACTGAGAGAGTTTGGCCTTCTTAAGGAGATTTTGGCAGTCTGACAACCACAGCAGCGTAGTCTGACAACCGGGGGATGACTACTTCCGTCGCCATATTGTGGATCTGACTCATAGGAACTCTACGCGATTTCACAGGAATGAACAAGACAAAGAAGTAACGCCATATTGTGTTATCGCGAAATCCGCTGGTTCTAGCGGCCAACAAGCTCCGCCCATCGGCCAAACTCTCTCAGTATAAACGGCTCTGGCCAGAGAGATCTGCGGTCACGTTGGAGACAATCTCGTTTAAACTTTTTATGATTAGGCTTCACCAATATTGCAACCTGCCCCCTCCTAGTACTTATAACCCCCTTAGTTACAAGGCGCATGACAAATGGTTGCTATGGCAACCCATGATCGCGTCGTGGCGGAACGCTATGAACCGTAACGCCTGCCGCAGCCCGCTCATAGCAAAACACGCATGTCAGAACCAGCCTTAACGTTACAAGCAGCCAGATATATATATTTTTTAATTTTACAAATAACAGGGGCAGCACTTTTATTATCTGATAACGATAAGATCAAACAAATTCTATCCAGACCAGACGCAGTGTGGCCTGCTGTTAATCTCTAACTTCTACAACGCATTGCAATTTCTCAAAAAATGTTTTTTTCTTTTATTTATAACAGTGGTAATAATTATTGTTGGCACGAGCAACTCAACGTGGAGGGAAAGGACTCGGAGGGCGGGTGGAAATGACATTCACAAATGACGTCATTTCCGGAACAGCAAGTTGGGACTTCCGGGAGCGGCAGGATGGGAGGCCTCGGGCCATTTTATGTTTCGGGGAAAGAAGGGAATTCGCGGAACCGGGGATCATCGCTGGGGACAGACGACAGGACTAGACGCTCCAAATAACCAAGACACACACACACAAAATAAAAAAAAAAAACATAATGAGAGGCGCGGCAAGAGAATGATTGGCCTCACGCGTGACCCCAAGTTTCGCTGCTCTGTTACTTAAGCCTGTTTTTATTTTTCCTCCCAGTTACATTTCCTTAGTCAGAAAAGGTCAACAGAGAGATACCGGGAATTGGAGCTAGTTGGGAAGTTGGCGACCGCCGGTTTGTTGTGCCTTATCTGAAGCCGTTTCAATTTCTTTTGCAATTGATCGACCATTCTTAATTTAAAAATAATTACATACAAACGAGTCTGTTGTTCTAAAGCTTCAAAATTTAATTTCAAATTATTACTTTTTGCAGAAAATCCCCCCCCCCTCTTTCGCCCCCCCCCCCCCCCCCCCCCCTCTCTTCCGTTCGGTCTTTTCTGTTTTGAAATGCGAGGAAAGAAATACTGGTGCAAGGAACACTCATGAATAATATCAAAATATTGCAGAGCACTGCAGGAACATAGACTAAGGTAAGTAGTAAAAAGGAACCACTGAAATATTTTAATAGGTTCAATTACATTAGATAACCCGTTAAACGCACAAATTAGTTGTTAATTAAATTGTGCGTGTTTTGCACCTGTTGTGCCGCCCTGGATGGGGCGGGGAACCTTCGTCAGATGCTATTATGCACCTTTTGTCCCTGCCACGACACTTCAAAAATGGCTAATAAAATGAAAAATGAAAAATGAAGTGATCTTATCGAATACACACCGTTGACGAGTAATATTAATCAACGTTTTGTTACGGAATGTAACGCTTGTAATACAGCGACCTTATCATTTTCTTCTCGTTTTCGTGAAGGCGAAGGTAGTCATTGCTTCTGCCTTCCGTTCTATTACTCTAGAAAAAAAAAAAAAAAAAACTAATGAGATGGAAGGGGTTGTAGTGTGTCGTTGCTTTAGAAGAAACACTGCCCGCTCTCTCACCTCCAACAGCTGTTGTAAAAAAAAAAAAAATATATATATATATATATGAAGGAAAAACTCAGGTCCCCCACGATGCAGGAATGTCTCCCAAGTAAACAAGAGCTGACTCTGCAGCTGCAGTGCTTGCGTGCACTGCACAGCGAGCGAAGCGTGCGGTACTTCGAGGGCTTTCCGCGCGCTGCATCGCAAACCTCGGCCGACGTTCTGTCGCGACAATGTTTCGACGCTCTCGTTCATCAAATGAAAGTTCGTTGACGTCACGATGTTCTCCTACTTGTTATACCAGTCCTTAGAACTCGGAACAACACAAACACAAGAAGAAGGCTTCTTCTTTCTTCTTCTTTATTAAATGGAGGGTTTTGTGGAGATGTTGGCACTGTCTATTCAGTGCCGGCTACTCCACTACGGTTGATTGGTCTTGGTAATATATACACTTGAGAGCCACTTAGGATGTATAGTTCAAGTTAAAAATACCCTGAAAGCTGTGTACTCATATACACATACGGATGGGCATATAAACCACACTCACGCGCACAGAAGTAACGATGCTACACCGTATGGTACGTAGTTGCGCACCCCAGGCAACGTTCCGAGCTAGTACGTACAAGTCATGTCGCTTTCGACGATAAAGTCGCGCACAGCATTTAACGCCTTTCTTTGAAGGGCCGGACTGGGCCATGGTCCAAGCACTTTCGAGAGAGTAAACGGTCGATTGTCCATGAAGCGTAATCGCTGTTCAAGTCGCTTGCGTTGTCTTGAAAATCGGACACAATGAATAATCAGATGTTCGACATCTTCTTCTGCTTGTCCACAGGGACATTCAGGGGATGACGCTCGTGATATTTTGTGCAAGAATTTTTTCGTGAAGGCAACATTTAGACGAAGTCTATGAAGCAATGTGTCCAGATGCCGTGGTAAAATGGTGTCTGCTGGAAGATTCAGGTGAGGATCAATGGAGAAGAGAAGAGAGTTCTTTGAGTGCTCATCAAACCAGGAATCTTTACATAAGTTTTCACTGGACTTGCGGAGTAGAGACCTCAGGTCAGTTCGTGATATCGGGATCAGTTGGGCTTCTGCGCAGTCATGTCCCAGGGCGGCGAGTCTGTCGGCTTCCACGTTGCCAGGTACGCCACTGTGTCCGGGCACCCACTGTAATTTTATGTCATGTCCGTCACTTTTAAGCAACGATGTTTCCTGTAAAATTCTGTAAACCAACTTTGCATTTATACTTCGTGTGTTTACGTTTCGTAGGGATTCTAGAGCTGCTTTCGAATCTGTACAAATGACCCATCTTCTTGTTTCGTAGGTTTCTTTCATAAAATAAAGAGCTGACAAGATGCCATGAAGTTCTGAAGACGTGGAGGAGGTTTGGTGGGAGAGACGATTGCACACTTTTACATTTAAATCTGGAATCGTAAAACCAGAGGCAGAGCCCGTCTCTGTGGTTGATCCATCTGTGTAAATCAAGCTAGAATCCCGAAATGACGAGAGGTGGGATAACGTCAGTTGTGCAGCTACGACACCGGACACAGCCGATTTTTTCTCAATGTTTGGTATGTTGGTTTGAATGTGAGGAACTGTAATGGTCCAAGGTGCACAGCTGTTTTCATATTTCGAGTATTCAAACGGTGGGCATATGGCTTCGCATAGTGCTAAGGACCTATGTAAACGCGCTCCATATCTTTCTTGAACGAGGTTCGCAAGTGGGTGGTGGCGATGCTGTGAAGTGATACGTAGAAGGTGCCTGCATGTCTCTTGGTTCCGGAGAGCTGAAATAGGTAATTCTCTAGCTTCAGCTATGACAAGGACGCCGGATGTAGCGCGGGGGACACCTAAGCACACTCTTAGGCTACGTGCCAACAAGTAGTGTAGTCGGTTGTCCAGAGTCTTCGAAAGCCCATGAAGGATTGGAAGTGAGTAAGTGATTGCTTGACGCACGAGCGCGCCGTGCAATTGGAGCATTGCCGATGTTGAAGCTCCCCACTTCGTGCCTGCTATGCAGCGCAGGGCATGAATAACTCCATTAATTCTTGCCTCTAGCGCATTTACATGTTTCGTCCATGTGAGTGATTGGTCAAGTGTTATTCCTAGAAATCGATGTTCACGAACCACTTCAAGGTTTCGACCATGCGAAACAAGTTTAAATTCTTCTATACGTTTCCGCGTAAACGGCAGAACGACCGATTTTTCTACCGATAAATCCATTCCGCGTTCTTTTAGAAACTTTTCAATGATATCTAGGCCGTTCTGCAACTGTGCTTGAAGTATTTGTATAGAAGAGCTCGAAGCCCAAATAAAGATGTCATCCGCGTATATAGAAAAGTTGAGACACGATGGCAGCAATTTGGAGAGCTGGGACATGACGGCATTAAATAATGTCGGACTTAAGACACTGCCTTGTGGGACTGCATGAAGCATGTCATGGTCTTTGCTTTTTCCATAAGAAGAAGGCAAAACACTAAGTGTGTTTACGAGGCCTTTTAGTGTGCACGTCTTGTTACACTGGGCTGTTTTGTATTGAATGTAAAATTCTGACGTCTAGGCATGGGCGAATAGTGGATTTTGAGTCCGAATCGAATTCGAAGCGAATATTGATTTTGGCCGAATAATTTCGAATCGAATAGTTCGAATAATACAAGCAACAAATACCAAGATAGGCTTGAACTATAGTTTTATATTTGCCCTTATTTGGTATTAGAAGTACTGCCCTACCGAAAAATCCGGTATAACTTTTCGCTATCCGGATTATGGAACCGGAAATCTATCTGGATTCTATCTGGACTCTATCTGGAATTTAGGTTTTCAGAAATTATTCCTTTGTCTGCAATCTGGATTTCGGCTTTCCGGTAACAAACTTCCGGTTCCATAATCCGGATAGTGCAAAGTTATACCGGATTTTTTGGTAGGGTGCAATTGTTAATTTCAAGTGTTCCTGCAATACTTGCAAATTTGCATGTTCTAGTACTTCATTAAACCTTTTCGTACGCTAGAAAAATGTTGGTGCACATCAGCTTTGATATAACTTTTTATTAGAAGTGGCACATCTTGTGTCGGAAGTCTTTTTTTTTTTATCAGTTACAGATTGTCATGAAGAAAGACAAGTTGCTCTACATGTTCCGTGAGAAGCAGCTCCCGCCTGCTGCTCACCACATTGCCTGCTGTTGAGAACAGTCTCTCACTCCTTGTTTGCGTGGCAGGTATGGACAGGTACTTCTGAGCAACCTTGACTAGGCCTGGGTACAAATGACTACCACGAGTCTTCCACCACTCCAGTGGCCTAGCTGAGCGAGGTAACAGAGGGGCACTTAGGTAGTCGGTCACTTGTCCAGCAGCAGGTTGATGTGCAGTCTCCTGGTGTGCACTGGAGCTTAAAGAGGCAAAAACAGCCCACACTGTACTTGAAGTGGTTGCACTGTGACTTGGGCCTGCACTGCTGGGAGAGTCTGGAACATGCTCCTGCTGTGCTGGCGCAAGCTCTTCTGCTGTTGTCGTGAGCAAAGCCCTTGCCCATTTCTTTTCACTCTCTGTGAGGTAGCAAATGTTCTTATACCGTGGGTCGATCAGCATTGCAAGTGCAGGCACAGGGGACATTTTCAGATCAGGAAACCTTGTAGCGAGACTGCGTGCAAGACTGTAAGCAAATGGTGCTGCTTCTTCACCTCCGGTTTTGTGCTCTTGAAGCACGACATGTGTACAGTGAAGCAATGGAATCACTTGTGAAAGTGTGGGATACCTATCAGCCGACAACTCTGCCGTGGCCTGTTGCAGGGGCTGCAATACTTTTACTACAGCAGCCATTAGTTTCCATTCTTTTGTGCTTAAGTTCTCCACGGAATCCGACTCTGAAAGTTCTGCAGAAATAGGGGCACGCAGTTTCACCAATCTTTCCATCATTGAATGTTCGCTATTCCAACGAGTGGGGACATCCTGGACCACTTCCAGAGCATTCATGTGCATGTCCTTCTGGATCTCGATGAGTCGCCCGCGAGCTCGTGCGCTTCTTTTGTAGTGCCCCACAATGCATCTTGCTTTTGCACAAAGCTGAGAGAAGATAGCAACTTCTTTTTTTGCGTCGTTAATGCACAGTTGCAGCGTGTGGGCAAAGCACTGGAGGCCCAACCACGGCGACCTAGCGACGGCTGAAACAAAATTCCTTGCATTGTCCATGACGACAAAGATAGGGATGTTGTCAGGAAGATCCCACTCTTCAACGACTGTCCGGAGGAAGCGCAAAACGTTCTCTGCGGTGTGCTCTTCAGGCATTTCCTTGCATGCTAAAGCGTACACGTGCTGCACGAAGTCTTCATCCAGTACGTGAACGGTCACGCACACGTAACTGTCGCCCGCTCTCGAAGTCCACCCATCAGTTGTTAACGTGTAACACTCGACTGCGCCTTCGAAGATGGCTCGAATACGCTTTTTCAGTTCAGATTTTTTCGCAGCGTACAAGTCTGGAATGACAGTTCTTGAAAACGTTTTCCGCGACGGAACAACATACTCAGGAATCGCATACCTGATCATGTCAATGAAACTTTCGTCTTCAACCACGCTGTACGGCTGGAAGGCACGAGCGATGAACGTGGCGATTTTCTTGGTCATTTCCTTTGCCTTCGGCGCCGTTGGTTGTAGCTTTGGTTTGAAGACGGTAGCCACCGATGACTGAGATGAATTTGGTTTCGTTTCATCTTTTCTTGTGGTCAGGCGCTGGTTCCGCTGACGCTGAACCTGGTAGGCTTTGTACTTGCCAGGATGCCTCTTCAGATGAGTGACCAACGTCGTGGTCGTCCCGGTGGGAGTCTTCAAAATTGATCCACAGGCTTCGCAGCGTGCGGCACCCTTTTCGGAGAGCTTGGAGTAAAAGCTCCAAATCGGGTTGGCGTACGTCGAGCACGAGGCGGTGGACTGAGAATCGCGTTCGCAGGGCTCTGAACAAAGCCGGTCGCGCTCTGAAGAGCACGCCATCGACGCCATTTTGACCGTTGATTTGGCAGAAGTGATGTCGCTGGCGATCGGTCGCCAGGTGTGTACTGAGTTCGGGTGCACGAAATGGTCGGAAGCTTGCGCCACCTGGCCGGAAATCAAAGCCCGAGTATTCGGAAAGGTCGAATAATTCGATATTTTCGAATAATTCGATTTTGTCGAATACTTCAATTCGATTCGAGGCGAATGCCGAATAGAACAGAATTCGATGGGCTATTCGGAATAACCGAATATTCGCCCATCCCTACAGTGACGTCCCAATTTAGTTTTTGGTAGAAACGAAGTCGCGAAGTCTTTCAGTCTGATCTCTGAAACCCTTGGTTCCGATATTGTAGTTCCTGTTTAATTAAACACGGAACTACAGGTTGCTTTAATCCTGCTTAAATACGGAGCTATCTTACTGCGTGTAAAGCGTACCACCAATGTACACACATCGAAGCAGCCTGTCAGAAAAAAAAAGAAATATGTAAAGATCCAACCACCGCGCCCCTAGCGGCCAAGTTGATAACTAAACCCACGGCCTATAAAGGCGCGTTCACACTGTTGCAACCGAGTACGACCGAGAAAGACTTCTTGGGACCGGATGCGCTACAGCGGAGCTGGTCCTAAGAGATCGCAAGAGGCTTAAAAACAGGTTTGGTCTCTCTCGGTCGCACTCGGTTGCAAGAGTGTGAACGGGCCTTAACGCTCACGGGCCAGTCGTGGCCAATCTGTGTCCCGCGCTCGATCGAAGGATATAAGGTTAAGAATCTAGTCCACAGGCGTTGTGTTTGATCAACACCAGGCCTTGTGGAAAACACGTTGGGCGTGAGGTCATAGCCATGTACCATGGGACCGGGGCAGTGAACAGGAGGCGCCTCGGTCGGCTGCTAGTTAGCGCCGCTGGTGGCCAAAATGGGTGACATTTGGGAAGGCCTAAGCACCGAACGACAGGTCGCGAGCTCTACGTCAGAGTTCGGCAGGGCACTCGGACTTTCGAGCTCGATGTCGGGTCCAATGATTGCGGCCGCGGGCCTACTCAGAGTTGCGAAAATCCCGCATAAAATGGCGCTACTTCTCAACCAAACTTAATTGTCAAAAGGATAGAAAATTTGCTGGGGCGAAATTCATGGTGCAGAAGGTAAGCAAGCAAAGCAAGGTCCTTCCCAATGGCCGCTGTTGTAACTTCAGTGAAAGCCATCCATCAACACCACCTAGACAAGAAAGCCTTAAAGGGCCACGGAAACGAAATGGCGTGGCCGGTGAGCTCTCTACCTCCCGCTTTAAAATGGGCCAGCGGGAAGCGCAATGCGTATCGCGCTCGTGACGTCAATGGCTCCTGCATGGCTAAGGCTACTGTAGCTGCGAGCGTTGCCGCTTGGTGGCGTCAACGCGTGACAATCTCGCCTAGCGGGAATATTTGGGGACTGTACGCCCTACGGCCTGCATTTAGAAGAACCGTCAGTACCCAGCAATGACGACACCTGCGAGCTATTTACATAAGGTATTCACTGCGTGCCATATTTGAGCGCGTTGTTCACAGCGCTTCCCCGGAGAGGGGAGTGGTAGGGTTGGTCTGGGAGAGGTCCTCGCAACCTCAGATCAAGCCCCTATAATGTCTGCAAAGAACGACGATCTTGATGGAATGGAGTGCACGTTCCTGAAGCACAGTGGAAGTTAACATATACGACGTAGTAGGGTGCCTTCATGTGCGCTCTGCTTAGGGTGGTGGCATCTCGCCATTTTGTCACACAGGTTTATTTTTATTTTTTGTTGAGAAGCGCGTGAAAGAGCGTGGCCCTGCACGCGCTCGTGGCGCTGACTGTGCTATGGCGACATTTTGTTTTCGTCAATTTCTTTGTATTTTTCCCGTGAGCGCGTGCTGTCGGCATGTGGTACTACAAAGGGTGGCATCACCCTAAACAGAAGGACATTGAGGCACCCTACGACGTAGTAGACTCGTTAGCGGTCTCCGGAAAGTCACATTCAGGACAAAGTATACCTCCACAAGAGAGCCATATTGCCGTGAACTGGCGCTGCTTCTCAGAGAGAGGTCGATGACGTGGCGGCATACAAACGGAGCTTCACAGGCCGCCACCAGGCGCAATCTTGAAATTCGTTCGTTCGTTTTAAAATTAATTTTCTTGACTTCTTTTTTTTTTTTTTTTTTCTGGCAGCCCAGAAGCAATAGACTAGAGTTTCTGGGCTGCCGTCAAAACGTAGACCGTATCTAAACAAAGAAATAGGAGACAAACATTTTCTTTCCGCACCCCCGCGGTCGCACCGCTAACACAACGTATACAAAAGACAGTCCGCAGACAGAGGCGTGTTTGTTGCTTGCGTGACGGTCCTAGCAGTCACATTGGTCGTACAAACACTGTCACGTGTTCGAAGCGTACATAAGTATGTTAAAAAGCAAACATGTTTGAACGAGCTTGACGCTTGTTTGCAGACAAGTTTGTCATCGTGTCTACAGCGAACACCACTGTGTTGAAGCTATACGGAAAGCAAGTCGTCTGCTTCTTGCACAGGAATTGCAGTGACGTCAGAACGACACCGGGTTCCTATTGGCTGATTGAAAAAGATAGTGGGTAGACTCAAGGCATCTATAACTCTCATTGGTTGATTGAAAAAAAAATAGTGGGTAGACTGAAGGCGTCTATAGATGCCTTGAGTATACCCACACATTTTTTTTTTTTTTCAATCAGCCAATCAGAGCTCGGAGTCGTTCTGACGTCACCGCAACTCTTACACAAGAATCAGACGACTTGCTGTCCGCATACAGTTCGATCTTTCTGCGCTCGCGATAACTGGTGTCTTGTGTCCACAACAAAATATATATAAAAAAAGAAACAATAACGGCTTTACAGAGAGAGTGAGAGAGAGAGAAAACAAGAGAGGTGAACGAGTGTTCCTACCTTTGCCGACGCCGGTGTCGCTGTAGTCAGAAGAGTGAGGTTTTTCCTTCCACGGCATCGGTTCCTCGCCCAGCCCTGCTCCTAACGGTTTTTCTCTGTAAAGAGACAGGGAGGGAGAGAAAACTGTCACAACACTCGAGAACGATGTTGTCCACTCAGCGCGAGCCGATACGCGAGCACGTTTCACCTCGAGGCGACGGGGGCACGACACGAGCGTTGCCAGAGAGGGCGACAACCACCCGACGACGATGTAACCCGAGGGCAACTTTTACTGCGGAGTCAGTCCGTTCGACCCGGAGAGTGCGCTTTCAAAGTAAGCCGCGAATCCGAGAACGGAACCTGCTCGTGTTTCGTTCATCGGCGCAGGCGTCGAAAGCAACGAGCTTTATTGTCTGTTCTAAAGTGGGTGCCTTCTAGCTGTTTTGTGCCACATGCTCTTCAGCGAAAGGTGGATTTTTTTTTTTTTTTTCAGCAAAGGCAGTAAGGTGACCTGAAAGTTTAAATTTTTTTTTTCTTAGGCGCAACGTCGGTTGCGCGAAACCACTGCACGTCAAAACATGCACCACAGGTGAAGAGAGCTCGGAGGTTTCCAGCGGGAGGCACTCACTTGATCGAATGACGTTTTAGCGAACGCCCACGTTTCATCGAACGACACTTTAGCGAATAGTCGGACGCCGCGAAGCGGCGTTTCCGGGTGGGTCAAGTGAGTTCATGTTTTTGTAATGAGTTGCCGAAGACTGTCGCCGCGAAGCGGCGTAAAGCGCAGCACGACGGATGGGTTAACGCGCGCCCCCGTTATTCGCTAAAACGACCATTCGCTCAAATGTCGCCGTTCGCTAAAATGTCATTCGCTCTTGTGATATGGACCCGTTTCCAGCGGTGTCTTTTGTCAGACTGTGCAACGTGCCTGTTTGTTTAAACTAAGATAATTCGATGGGCTAATTAGGAATGAAGGTAGGCTTAGTCGTGTGGGATAAAGACAAGAATCTCAGAATAGGGCATTCAGAAAAGTAAAGTCGTTGCGCGCGCGCGCTAACACACACACACGTACAACCAAACAAAGAGAGAGAGAGAAAGCATTTAGAGCAAGGTGCAAATACAATATTCCGATAATTTAAAGTCACGGTGTGACGAGCGAGACTACCTGCGGCGATTATAGCACAAGAAGAAAATGCGACAACGCGAACGGGTTTGCAACGTCCAACTAGTGTACTACTGAGCAGCGAAACGAGAACAAAGAGCACAGTAGTTGCAGCACTGAAAAGCTGCATATTCTTTGGGAGACACCGCATTTGGGCAACCTGCTTCAATCTTGTCTGCTACGCTCTTTTTTTCTACATTTTGTTTTCTCAAGTAGAAAAATACCAAAAATGTTAAGAACTTTGTAAAGAATGTCATCAGACCTCTCGGAATTCCTATGGCCCAATAAAGAAGAAAAAAAAAGAAGCGAGGAAGGGAGCGGGGAGACGCTGACGAAAGAGTTTCTTATGCGAATCGACTTTCGAAAGTCGGCTCCCCCAAAAGTGACCCTCGGGATTAAAAAGCCGAGAGCGCTTGCCGAGATCGGCCTGGTTACGATGCCCAGTGACCCGAGTCATCGGAAAAAAAAAAAATACTCATCGAAGTTGCCGACGGAGACTCCGGAACACGTGGACTGCGGAGGAGCCCCATCTCCGGCTCGCAGACATGAACGAACGACGAAGCCATGTTGCAATTCCGTATTGCGGCAAGAGGTCCGACCGAGGACGGTCTTTTCGGGTTATGTGGGCTTTGTGCTGGGGCGACCCTAAAGCCCCTCTTACAGGGGTCTTTGCCCTCCGCGCTAAAAAAAAAGCGCGGGACGCAACTTCTCTCAAGCGCTTTACGACATACCGAAAAACAGCGACGGTTTCTCTTTCGCGTTTTATTTCATTTCCGTCCCTCGTTCAACTTCTCGTAAACGAGTCGTTCCCTACACACTCCGTTTCATCTTACGATGGCCCGCAACGGACCCTACGAGCCATCCCAGCCAATCTAGAGCTGCGAATGTGTCACGTGATTGGGCACCCCGCGTGCTACCGCGCGCCCCCAGAAGGTATACGCCTGATAATCACAAGGTACTCATAAGCAGGGTTGTAAAAGTTACTTCAAAAATGTACCTAAGATACAGTTACAGTTACTCATACGAAAATGTACCTAGGTGCGTATCTAGCTACTTGCTTAAAAATGTACCTAGGTACAGGTAGAGTTACTTCAAAGGTGCTTTTTTATTTTCACGTAAAGTACTTTTCTAAAATTTGTCACATTATTATTGGAATAAATCCTTTGTATACTGGGATGTAAACAAAAACAAGTTTGATAAACGTACTTTATTGGTGTCAATGGGAGAAGTAACGCAAAACGCTCACCAGAGCATTCGAAGACTTTGCCTTTTTCACTTGAGTACTCGATTTGACCTCAGAATCAGGACTCTTCGAAATGTTCATCCTACATCTTCGATCGCAGTTTGGTAGCAATTGTTCCTCCTATGCTAAAAACGCGCTTCACCGCCGCTGGAAGCCCCGTGTTGAATTTTAAGAAGACGCTTTTCAGCGGCGGCATGTGCTTGAGACAGTCAAGACTTCTTGTCGGAGCAAGTTTGGTGTACTGTACATTCGGCGAGAAACAGCCACCGGAGGAGCCTCCAACTCGGTAGAAGTTGGCACATGGCAAAACAGAAGGGCCCGGGGGGCCAATAAGGTCACTGGAGCGAGGCACGTGACGGCGCTGCACAGATGTTCAGATCGGAGTGGAGTCCTCATGTGCCTTACTGTCACGATCCAATTGGCTCACCGAGGACACAGCTTCCACTGTTTACGACGTCCCGCTCAAACTCGCCTGTTGACGTGGCTTGCCCTTCAGCGCCAGCACTGGCATCGAAGCCATCGGCGAGCCCTGAAGACGTCGGCCGCATGGAGAAACGAAGAGTCGAGTGCACACGCACCTAACCTTCGCAACGCAACGACGCGCGAAAGTCTTCAAGCTTTCACGTTTTTTCTTTCGTTTTTAGGAAGGAAGAGAATATTGTAACGCGAGCGCGTTTAGGAGCTCGTGTCACAGAAGATCCGTCGGATGTCGGTGGTGTCGGTGGCGTGACGGAAAATTCCTGAATGGTCGATAGGGTCGTGACGTCACAGTCACATGACTTTGCGCGGGAATTTCAAACAACCCGCAACGCTCATATGAAGCGTGACGTCACGCGTGGAATGAAGGTGGTTAAAGGCATACGAATTAATGGTCGCAGCATGTTTCAATGATCCCACTTGATAAACTAATTCATTTGCCTTAAAAAAAAATTTGAAGAATTTACGCAGGATTGCACCCACGACCCTTCGGCTGCGAGCCAGACATGATACCGACTAGGCAACGGAGGGCTTGGGAATGGCACTGCGATCCTGCCGTCATTAGAGTGCCTCGGTGTCTGTTTGTGTCAGGGTAAAGGCATTATCGCATCGAGTGTTGTTAGCGCGTGCCGAGCAAACACATACATAAACCTTGCGGGGTTAAAATGGCATCCAAAGCACTGGCAAAAGCTCCTCAATGGCGCCGGGAGTGTTGTATCATAAAAACTAAGTCGTTGTGTGACTCAAGAGCATGAGAAGCGATTGAGAAGGCCATGCGAACGGGGCCCGATAACCCTATCGCCTTCAACTCTTAAAGACGAAGATTAATCGTCCTCCCAGTTTTTTTTTTTTTTTTTTTTTTTTCACAAACATTTTCAGTTTTGTGAAGTGCAAAATTTGAGTTTGATTTATTGAGTGGAAACACCACGTGTTTTACGACTGTAATTATAATTTATTTTCAGTTATATGTTTAATTGTATTTTCTAAGATTTTGACGAAGTGAATAGAAAGTACCTGTAAAAAGTAACTTCACTTAGTTACAAGTTACTGGAAAATGTACCTAAGATACAGATACAGATACTGAGAAATTAAAGTACCTAGGTTTGTACCTCAGGTACAACAAAAGTACCTAGATACCGATTTACAGTTACTTGTACCTAGGTGCTTTACAACCCTGCTCATAAGGCACTGGACTGCCTGGGATGGCTCGTAATATACGCCACTGTACATCGTAAGGCCTGGGTCACACTGTTTATACATCAAACAAAAGACAGTCTGAATACAGATTCGAACACTAGTCCCCGCGAGAACCTTGTTTCGAATGCCGCATGGCAATGAGTTCAAGGAGAAAACTTGGCGCGCGGCGTTCGAACCATGGACTTTGCGGTGATTCACGTTTGCAGGCTGTCTTTTGTATGATGTGTGAGCATTCTGAACATCGGAGTAGTCGACCACGGATCTTGGAAACCACAATATGTTGGAAGCGTCTCTAACTATATCCCAGGCGCCCGCATTGCAGTAACGCTACCAAGTGTTAAGTTCTGTTCAGAAACTCTAAATAAAAAAATCAAAACCGTTTTTTTTTTTTTTTTTTTTTTTTTTTTAGTTTAGTTTGCTTTAAGTGATTTCGCCAACTAAGTATTTTTACCGAGCATTCTTCGAGCCTCAGGTTCTTGAATAAGAGAGCCTGTTGTTTCAGAGTTAGTAAATATTTTTGTCCTCAAAGATTGCCCACCCCCGTGCAGGAGCTCATTCGACGGACGTGGGACATAAATATAAAGAGAATGATGCAATATTAAAAGCTGCCACATGTGATCGGCCAAAAAAATTGCTTTTTTTTATGACGGCAACGGGAGGCAGACAAATCCAATGGACTGCACGGACCCGAGTATCGCTCAAACACAGGTCTCATCAGAGCGACGCTGAGTGACTCATTTCCTCATCTCTCTCGCGATGAGAGGCTGAGTACAAAACAAAGCACTCAGACAGCGGGCAAGAGCGAGACGGTTTCGGGGTCTTCTGTCGGGCCAGCTGCACGCTTCGCACATTCTGACGCTGACAGTGGAGTGAAAGCTACGTGCTGGCTGGACCAATTAACTGTCCGCTACGAAACGCGTGACCGCGTTCTGCAAGACTCTTGCCTGCCGCCTGCCTCCCTCTACCACCCCCCCCCCCCCCCCCTCCTCCTCCCCTGCAACTACCAAAGACCGTGGCGTCCCAGCTTTGA